CTGGTTGTAAATGCCCCTGGTTGTAAGACCCCTGGTTGTAGGAGCCCCTGGTTGTAAGACCCCTGGTTGTAGGAGCCCCTGGTTGTAAGCACTATGGTTTTAAGACCCCTGGTCCTATGAACCCCTGGTCGTAAGACCCTTGGTTGTAAGAACGGCTAGTTGTAAGACCCCTCGTTCTAAGAAGCCCGGGTTGTAAAAACCTGGTTGTGAGACCCCTGGTTGTAAGAAGCCCTGGTTGTAAGAACCCTTTTTTGTAACACCCCAGGTTGTAAGAACCTCTGGTTGTAATATCCTCCTCTAACCACTCGCCCACTCTGTGGCTTCGACAGCGCGCCTTCGTAGGTAAACTATTAAATGCCATCATTTTTTTTGCATTCTTTTTTGCTGAATAACAGACTGCTCAATGAGAATCACCTTCAGTCAATCAGTGATGAGGCGTTCCAAGCCCAGAGACAGCTTGATATATTGTAAGTATAGTCCGGTTTACTGAAAAGATGTGGTGAACGACCCAAGAATAAAAAGTAGTTACGTCGTATTGTTACAACTTCTATAAAGAGGGAAAAGCCATTATGAATAAAATGAATAAAAGCGGCCATTTAACCATTACATTTCTAGTGGCTTCTTATAAGAACCATTCTCATTTTTACAAAATGTAATTCCACCAAGGTTATGGGTCGCGGACCAACAATCAGGGACAAAAGTAGTTGACATACTTGTTTAAAACAAGGGCTTTTAACAAAAATTTAATTCATTTATTGTTTCATTCCTTTTAAACGCCGTAAATCCCCTCCCCCCCCGAGTCAATGTTGCCTGAAGAAAAAAAAAAGACTTGGGGGGGGGGGGTAGGGGTAGACAGGGGAAGGGGATAAGTATATCAACTATGCAAAAAGGGGCCATTTTACGGAAGTGTGTCAACACTTTTGTCCCTCATTGAAGCACAAATACGCGAAATTTGGTTATATTTTTTCAAGAGTCGGTAAAACAAAAAATTCGAAGTTTACAACGATGTGCTACCAACGGCAGAAAAAGGTTTATCTGAAAACGTGTTCTGCAAAAGGCACGTCTTTCCGTTGCGTTTAATTTATTCACAAGCTAAGTAAACATGACCACGGTGCCGCCGAAGTCCAAACTTCAAGCTAGAACGACAAATTAACCTACCTGTCAAAAAACCTTAATTTCGCTCCTTCAAAGAAACAAAGAATGCTTATAATCAATAAATCACTGGACCTTTTATTTTTCACCGCATTTTATTTCTCGACGAAATATTTCATCATGCTGCAGCTCGGAAAAGTCGCGGACCAAGGACCACATACTAACTGTGCAAGTCACTCTCTAACATTTCCTGCACCGATCAGTCTTCAACCAAGCTTCTGGCCATGGGCTCCCGTAAACAACAGAGAAAGCCCCTCTCTCGACAACCCTCATATTCTCGTCGTTAGTATCACTGAGCGTTACAGCAGGAATACCAATATTTGCCAGCTTTGTAGCTTGATCTTTCATAAGATGTACCAGGGGCGAAACAACAACAACAATATGTTCAGTACTTCCACGCACTGCGTCGCAAACAAGCGGCAAAGCTTGATAGATAAGGGATTTGCCAAATCCCGTCGGCAAATTTATGAACTCATCAGTCTTCTCTATAAAATTTGCTGGATAGCTTCTCTCTGATACTTGTTTAACTCTGTATTTATTACAAATTTCTCGCACACCCGATCAAAAGCCTCACTGATCGTGCGAATCTGAACAAGCGGCTCAGGTTACGTTTTAAAAAAATCTTTAAACAGCCTGTGATTGGTGAACGTAAATGTCCGGTGTGTTTAGCAGACGTCCGTGGGGGAGAAATGAATGCAGACGAACAAACCCCAAAGGACGTCTGCGTGGAGGCTAATAAGGGAGCAGATTCCAGACTCTAATACCCTTGGGAAAAATGGACAATTGAAAACTGAGACATTTGCCTGTAATTGGCAATAGGTACGTTGGTGAGATCTAGTAGACCTGATTTTGTGCGTAGATTTAACTGGACTAGGAGTTTGACAGTTTACTAAATTATAATGAAATTTATAACAAAAGCACTGATTGGTTGAACTAACGCCTGTGTTCGAGAGTATCTCAGCCTAAGGACTTAAAATGGCTAGAAGTACTTGTTGCAATGTTATAGTCGTTGCATACAAAGAGAGAGCCGCATTCTTCTGAATTTGTTCAAGGCGTTTTATGTCTGTGTCAGAGTAATGATTTCACGAAGAGGAGAAATATTTAAGCGTAGGTCTAACCAGTGTCAGATAAGATTTCTCTTTAACCTCTACGCTGCAGGGTCTCAGTGATCCTCTTATAAGACCAAGGGACTTATTTGCCTTTGCAGCTATCTTAGAGCAGTGAGCACCCCAGCGAAGGGTTTCGATACACGTAACCCCCAGAAAGTCCCATTCAGGGACTCTTGTTAATGCATCGGAATTTGCAGTATATATGAAGTTGGAGGGTTCCCGTTTCTTTGTAATACAAAGTAGATGGCACTTAGTTACGTTAAAGTCAATCTTTCAATCAGAAGCCCATTTAGTTAGGTTAAGTAGATCTTCCTGGAGCACTTGATGGTCATGTAGGGAATTAATGGTCATTTAAAACATAGTGTCATCAGCGAAAAGACGTAATTGTGAATTTGTTACGTGGGTGATATCTTTATGAACAACAGGAAGAGAGTCGGACCCAAAACGGAGCCCTGTGGAACACTAGAGGTAACAGGAGTAGTGGTTGAATGAGTGCCGTCTACGACCACAAATTAGGTACGATTATGAGAAAAGCGGCAATCCAAGCAAGCGTCATTAATGCATTAATCATCAATGCTGCAGTGGGCTAACTTGCGCAGTAATTTAGTATGGAGAAATACAACAGAAGGGCATCAACTTGGCCATGCTGATTTAAGGTGTTGTCCCAGTCATAAAACGTCAGAACTAGCTGGGTTTCACAGGACAAATTAACACGGAAGCAATGTTGTAGATGAGACAATTAATTTTTGTCAGACAGATGTTATTCAGGTTGCTAAGCACAATATGCTCCATCACCTTATAGCAGAGGAACGTAAGGGATATGGGCCGATCATTAGCTGGGTTTTCCTTGCTTGATTTCTTGTGGACAGAACATGAACCATAGCTGTTAACCAGTAGTTTGGTAAGGTGCCTGTATCAGAGCCTTGCTGGAAAATGAATGTCAACATGCTTGAAATCTCAGCGGATTCTGGGCCAGCTGACTTTGATGGATTTAATGAGGCAAGCTCTTTCAGAACACAATTGGGGGGAAACACCATGTCCCGAATTTTAATAATATAAGAAGGAATGGATGGGGAGAAGGCTGGAAGCAAGCCTTTGTCTTTTGTGAACACACTTTGTAAATAGTCATTTAAGGCTTCTGTCTTATCTTTGTCAGAGATAAATATTGAGTCTCTTTGGCGCAACATAGGTATGCCAAAGTTCTGAGACCGCAAGCGTTTGATGTAGCTCTAAAATCGTTTGGAATTTTTCTCTAGGCTACCCCCAATCAAATTATTAAGAGAATCATTGTGGGCTGTCTTAAGTAATTTCACCACTCTGTTTCTTTGGCAGCGATATTCAAGCCACGCTGGTGAGCGTTTGTCACCCGTGCGCCTTGCTTTTTATGAGAAGGCTGTCCAGTTTAAGCATTTGACGCTTAATTGATATTGTAGTCCAGGGAAGCGAAATTCTTAAGGTTGACATTTTTGAGGAGACATGCTTATCAACTGCTACAGTGAATATGTTCTTGAAGAATGACCAGTTTTCCTCCAGGTGACTATGGGCACAGCGAGTGGAAAATTCGGAAGCACCTTTTGAGACATCTTGACGAAATTTAAGACTGAGTCCAGTGTCTCAAGCGATACAGGGCGGGTGGGAATAGTAACTTATTGTATAGGAGCGTGGTAAGTATCACCTTCACTCGAAGACTAGGGTTCTAAGCCCGCATATGTAAAATGGGAGAGTTGATGAAAAATAGATTGAAGTACCCCTAGCATGGCGAACCACTATATGAGCGGACCATTATATGAGTGCCTACACCAAGCAATTACCCTTTTTTTCTTCCTTCTGCCTGCTAATCTGGATTCTAACTTGAGCTTTAGCAGTGAAAATGACTACTGCACCTAATGCCTTCATTCTCTAACGGGCACAGGATGGATAAAGGCTGACTATCCTTGGTGTTTCTGTGACCTGCCACTGTGTATAGGCATTGGTGCATTGTAGGAAAAGTGATAACAAGCTGGGCGATCTCATGTCTTTAAATGACTAGCGTTTATTTCCCTTGTAATAACGACTACACTTCAAGTAAACTTAAGATTTTATTGTCCATTGTTTAACACATTTTTGGCTAAGATGCTTGGTTTTAGGGTGGTGCAAATTCGTGATGCTGATTAAACTAGGAACAACTCGACTCATAAAAACTCTTCAACACTTTCACAGTAACTAATTTCAGTACAGGCAAAATAAAGAAAAGAAAGTCTACTTGGTTTTTTAGGTGAATTGTATTTTCAGTAGTTTTAGAAAGGCTTCTTTTCAATTTCAGACGTAGGTGACAAGTGGCTTTTAGTGAAAATAAAATATGCGTTCGTACAGTCACAGCCAGCAATCGATCCTGGAAACATCCATTCCTGAAATACCCTCGGAGAAAGGATTAAAACGATACATGTCTGAAAATATGTTTGAGGGAGCGGGAAATGGATATTCACTTTGTACCGGACTATTACGTCTTAGCAGAAGATCCCCTAGTTTATGTTCAAGATCTTACGAACTAGTCCAAGAGAGAATAATTGTACCTGTCCAGTTATTTTCTCCCCTAGTAATCCCCTCAAGTAGCTCACAAACTTAGGGAAAGTTTCTCGTCTTACAATGTATTGGAAGAACTGATTGGTCACTTGATTACTGGCGTTTCGACTAGCAGCTTTTTATATACTGACACCTACGCAATTCATTCTTTAGAGTGCTTTCAGATAATCCTATCAAGACTATTGGGCATCGGGCCTTCAGTATCCCAGATGGGCAGGTCGTGATGTAAGTGAGAGGATTTGTATTATTTATGACTGGTTCATAACTTGCGCCCAAGTAGTAGTAGTCAGTAATAGTAGTAGTAGCAAAACTTCATTTGAAATCGGATTGAAGAGTAGCACATAAAGGCTAGTATTTCCTAGAGATATCTGTAATATTAATTTAATTACACAGAATAATCTTGAAGTATAAAAAATATTATATGTATATACATGCTAATAAAAAAGTAAGAATAAGTAATCAAGCTTTATAAAATAACTATGATAGTACGCTCGTTCTGATTGAATAAAAGCGTATGGTTTATTGTTCTTGTAAACTCATAGAAAACTTCAGGTTATTTTATAAAAGCAATATAACACACTTTCTATGAGTTGACCGGCGAGATAACCCACTTGAGATGTTGGGAGAACACTCGCAAAGCTCTTTACAAGCTTTTCTCGTGTTCTCCCAACATCCCGCCCGCGAGGGTTATAACGCCTGTAAACCCATAGAACGTGTGGTCTATTGCTTAAATAGGTGACAAAGTTCAGATAAACGAACATTATTTGTAAAGTGAGCTATGCTAGCGGTAGTTTTAAGATCATGAAGATGATCTGAACTGCGGAAATACAAATTTTTAATGAAGATGTGATGGTCGCAGTGGTTATTGCAATTTAAGCTATTGCAAATAAACCCGAAAAATGTTTTCGGTACTTCAACGGGATTTGAACCTATGGCTTCTGCGTTAGCGCTGCAGTGCTCTACCATTTGAGCTATGAAGACCCACACATTGGGGGCAGGCCAATTTGTTGAGTTCATCTTATCTAAGATGATATGAACTGCGGAAATACAAATTTTGAANTCAACGGGATTTGAACCTATGGCTTCTGCGTTAGCGCTGCAGTGCTCTACCATTTGAGCTATGAAGACCCACACATTGGGGGCAGGCCAATTTGTTGAGTTCATCTTATCTAAGATGATATGAACTGCGGAAATACAAATTTTGAATGAAGGTATGATCGTCGCAATGAAGATAAGGTCATCATCTAAAGTCTAAACTATATTATAGTTTGGGTGCTAAAAATTTGAAAGAGGGTGTGCCATAAAAGATGGTCTTGACAAGTGGCAACTGCAAATTGTTTTTACCTCTAAGCTGAGTGCTAGTTCCAGATACAAGTAGTGCTGATATCTAGGTAAGTGTGACAGCTTGAAAGAACTTGAAAAGAATAATTAACATTAAGAAATGATTATGGGAACAAACAGTAGTGTTAATAGATGATACTAACAAACGTTTCAATTAACTTTTCCGTCCTTTGCAGATTCATGATTCGCACTCAGTTAAAAGCAGTGAGCCTCCGAGTCTTCTTTTTTCCCGATTTTCATAACCTAACTACCGTCATGTAAGTACGATTCGTATATAACCAGAACTGTTGCAGAAAATGGCCAATATATATAAGAGGGCCCTTTTAAGAATCTATATTATAAGCCTATACACTCGTATTTTTATCAGGATTCACACTCGATCACTGCGCTCACTCGTTCAATTTCGGATACGTAAACAGCTTGTGAAACCCTACACGCGCGCGCTTTTAATGACGTATTCTATATAAAACTCAGTTGGTGTTCCCGCTTATCAGTTAGTACGCTCGTAGGGAATCGGGCTTTGATGTCAATAATAAAGACTTAACTGTCCAATTTTCGTTTTCTTTTGTAGAACCATGAATGGTGGTCAAATTGGTACCATGAAGTTTTTGGATTCACTTCAACAAGAGCGCTGCACTTTTTATCTGTTCGTAACTTTCTTTTATACCGTAATACTATATTCTAATATGCGGTTGCATTGTCTTTGACCTTCATTTACTGGGTTACTATAGCTTCATGCATCACCTCGATGCAAACTACACTAAAGAGATGAAGTTAAAATTTTCTCATTTTCTCTACTCTCACTTTGAGGTATAGGTGAATCTGTATTTTTGTCCCTTTTCTGCCTCATTTTTATATCCTGGTCATTCTCCGATCAAGCTGTTATAAATATCACCTTTCTTAACTTGAGATAGTGTTGCAATTGAAGTCAAATCTTTCGTAAGCGACTACCCAAAAGCCAAGCTGTAGTGGTCACCTTAGGAGGAGGTCGCTAACGAGAATCGAATCAAAAGTGGTCTCTTCTGAAAACAGGGGTGGACACATCTACCTCTTGGAAGGGAATTTTCCTACAGGCAATTTCTAAGGTACGATGAGTGTTCTCCCATTTGATTCAAGTTCTTGTTATTCAGATCACGTGTATGATTTTAGACCAAATTGCACATCACTCAGTTACAAAAATCACGAAAAGAGTAACAGCTTTAAAAAGCTCATAAAGGGATTTTGAAACAATGACTTGCTTGCTGAATGTACGATGCTACAGAAAATTTTAAAGAAAGTGAACGTCTGGAACTCTTTGGAAAATACTTGTCTTAACACCTGATGCGAACGTGTGGCCGTATCAAATTGACCCACAGAGATCCCATGCAACGTTTCACAGAGTGGGAGATTTTCGCATACGAGAGAAGGTCGCCCATGATGGTGCGAGTATATTAAATTAGTTATCTTTGAACATTTAGGCCAATATACATGTATCGAATAGCTTCATTTAAAAACTCGTTAACTCATGTGCCCTCCTCCCTTTAGCAATTTTGCAGATTTTGATGACAGCTATTTTCTTGGATATTACGTAGTTATTATTCAACTTCACTCAGTAGATTACAAATAACACCCAAAACGAGTGAAATATCTCATGATATTTGTACTCCAGAAGACCGGTTTGACCGGTTTTCTACGAACGTCGCACAAAGCAGAAAATACATCGTTTCCCGAAATTCAAAGGTTGAGTAAAACCGTGCTTTTAGGTTAAAGCTGCCTCAACAATGAAATGTCGACATTTATTAAAAATAGTCATAACATACAAACATTATACGTTCAAAATGCAACAAAGAATATCAAATCAGACCTGAACTTATGCATGAGAGGCATGGTGAAAGTGGCAATCCGTGGCACAAACAACGTTGATTTATTCACTCCCCGCCGGGAAGCTTAACAGTCTTCAACTCTGGTACTTTTAAAATGTGAGGAAACTCGATAGGCAAGACTTGATACTTTCTCCAAAGACTGAACGCTAGTACTAGTCTAGACGAAGATGAGGTTTCAAATCCGTTACGTTGTTTACGAGTAGCCACGTGTGGGAGATTTTTCGTCTTTCCACCGCAATTCGCTCTGCTCAGTGTACCTTCTTGCAGTCGGTATTAGATAAGAACTGGAAGACTATCCTATTAGCCTCACAATTATTTGCCATTCCATCTCTGTTTTCCTAGCAAATGTTTGAAAGATAGCACCGCGAAGCCCGAAGAAAACCCGAGAAATTTGACAAAATTTGCTTACTGAGCATTAAAACTAGTTTAATGAGTTTTCATTTTAGACCAATCACAACAACGTTGCATAAAGCGCGCGAAAACTGGACTTGCAAAGGAGCCACGTTAATCAGTCACGCATTCTGGTTTTATGTATTTAATGAGTTCTTTTTTAAAACATCTCGGTTTCCGTCCAATAATATATATATATATATATATATATATATATATATACACCCGTTTTCAAAAAGGTTTTCATATAGAGAGATATATAGATAGATATATACTTTTGTTTTCTTGCACGTGCGCCCGTGTGCGTTTACACTTGTTATTGTCTAACTTGTGAAAAAACTTGGTTCAACAATAATTTTTGTTTTCGTCAGGTTCTTTGTTGCAATTTGTCAATTAAAAAAAATAATGCACGAATATTGCCTGCAATTCTCTTGATTTGCATTCTCTTGA